TTCGCCATCTTAGCACGCGCCTGTTTCTTGCAGTTCATTAAACTTCACGTGCCATGTTACAAAATATTCTTACAAGTGTCATGTTTCAGTTCCGGAGACGAATTTCCGCCTGATTCAGAACAAGACTGACGATGATACTGTGAACGTCATATGTGCTGCGGACGGAGCGTTCCCCGCACCAAACCTCACGCTAGCCACACCTGAGAGGTACGTTACTAACGTTTTATTCTTTTGTAGTGTAGTTTGAACATCACAACACCATCTTGGCTTGGTTTGGCAGTTCGAAAAGTATTGTTATCAAAATAGAAACAAAATTACAATAATAATCATGATTGTAATGTAAACGTATGCAACTAATTAGTTTTAACGTGTCTAGGTCGTATAAAATCGAAGACGTGTGCTCTAAACAGCAATTGGCTACAAACTTGTCGATAACAAGGCAACTGCACCTTATCGCTAACCAATCGGCCTACATCGCTAGACATGAGAATGCTTGCTTGAAATTACTTACTTTATTGCGTTAAATACGTAAGTAGCAACTACACAGATGCAAATGAGGTTTCAAGTCTGTGGCCGTGGAAGGAAAAGGGGAGATCTCCCGCCGGGCAAAGTGTTCTGCCCGGGGAGCGGCTCACACTCCAAGTGATAGTTCGGAGAAGTTCTATATATACTGTCTATGATTCGGAATGTTAATAGCGCGATTTAGGCTTCGGTGTGTTTCGGTGTGCTAGTGGAGCGACGACAACGCCGCTACAAAGGTCAAAATGCAAGCGGAAAAAATACGAAATAACATTTTTTTTTTTCAAATAACACAACATCGCTAGCAGCCCGGTTATGCTGTACATAGTCTATTTTACTTTAAGGAATATTTAGCACAAATGCCGCACTTGTCATACGAATAGGAGATCGCGCTGCCAGACTGTAGAAACTGACCTCTACTCGATCTTGTACCTCAACTAGTATAATAAATTCGGAAACAAAACTGTTAATAAATAAAAAATAGAAAAATAATAAAAAATCTTTATTGGTCAAACAAAGATCCAAAGTGGATACAATAGAAGGCCAATATTTATGTTAGTACTTAATACTCGCAACTAAGGAGGTGCGAGTTATAGCACACATATATGAGCTAAAAGTGGACAGTACCCATTTTCGGCAATGCTTTTCAGAATAATATTAAAAAGCCTTCACCTTTTTAATAACAAGTTATTTGAAAAAAAGAATACTGCTATGCTATAACTTGTTTCATGTTTTGGTTGATGTTATTAGTGTTGAAATTTGTTAATAATACCGGAAAAAAAGGCATTCTCAGGCATTCTTTGGGGATTCCTACGTGCAGCAGTGGTCTTCATTAATTTAGCTTTGACAGGCTGTGATGATAAATGAATAATGAAATGTTAATACTCATCATCATCATCATCAACATCGGCCCGTAAAAGTTTTCAGCTGGTCATGGGCCTCTCCCGTTGACTATTTGTAGATTTAGCTTAATTGCCACCCTCAGGGTCACACGTCTCGCATCTATGTTACTAAGCTAATCATAAGTAAAGTATCTATGTAATCTAAACAAAAGTAAAGTAATTTATTGCATTAAGTTTAATAATCAGTAAAAGCGCCCATTACATCCATACCGCATCTGCATCGGTTGGGCATACTGGGAATAAGATAATTAATATCCTAGGAGGAATATTATCCCAGGTCCTGCTGAGATGCCTAAAGAGTCGTTCTTCTGTAACCATAATCTCAAGAAAAGCTCTCAGAGCTCTTCTTTGAAACATTTTTCATGGAATTTAAATCTAGAGTTTACGCTGGCCATTCTGGGGACATCACATCATGTTTGTACAACCAGACTGAACCGACATTGTCGTGCATAAGGAGGGAATTTTGACCCAGACCCAGTTCTAGCATCTAATTACAGTATTTTAGCCACCATAGTGTCCTGTATCCAAACGAAGTCTGTGCTTTCACCAAAACGAATTCTTACCATTATATAATTGTACCACATTGGTATGGATGAACTTCTTGAGAGTGTTGAGGCCGGACAGTACGACCAGAAACTTTCCTCAGAGTGTGAGTACAATTAGGATGAAAACCAAACCGGGATTCATCGGTGAAAAGCACCAACGACCAATGATGGGATTCCAAGTTCAGATGTTCTTCAGCCCATTGCAGTTTTCGTCCAATATTTCCTCTACTTAGAGCTGGAACCCTAAGTAGTCTACGACCATGAAGGTTAGTTTCGTGCAGTCTCCTCCTCACAATTTGATCTCTCACAAGCACCTGGTGTTCAGCCTTTGGACAATTGCTTCACCCTATCATATATATTGTTGCTTTCTCGCAGCAATTTGCAAAAAAATGACTTATCTGGCTGTAGTAATGCGGCTTGGTCCTGGGTCTCTCCACCACCACCGCCGTGGCATGATAGTGTGATCACAATCTTGAAATCACATTTTGCCTGGTGCCTAGTGCCAGTTGAAAAGTACGAGCCTGCAGAAATCCTACAGCACGTCGACGTTGCATTGTAATATAATGTCAAATTGTCACAATCTACCCAAGTTGATTTCGATTTTTATTGCATTGTAAAGAAGCATTTTAAGATAAAACATTTATTCATTAATTTAATATCATATGTATATAGCAAAAATAATCTGGCGCTGTGCCAGAACTACCTGAATGCCTGTTAAGCATGACTATCGGGAAAGGTAGGAAAATAGATGCAGTTTCATGTTATTGCATTGCTCTAGCCTAGCTTTAGCCCAGAGGAATATGAATGATTAATTTAATTTATTGCTGTAGTATTAAATTTTGGTAGATATTATTGTGAAAATCGTGTGGGTGTGTGTGTTTTATTTTCATCCTATCAAATAATTAAGTTTTCAGTAAAATCAATTCAGTTCGTTAGTTTTTTTTTTAATTTTTTTTACCAATAGGCAGTTCATACTGAGAGTAAAAATATTCATCGCACTCTACATAATGCTACATATTATATTCATATTAAAAACATCTATATGTTTTATTGAAAGGAGGCTGGATGGAGTTTCTCACGAATTGAAACTAGTGAACGGCAGATACTCCGCGGTAGCTTCGGTCACGTTGCTCGACGCTGACCTTCCTTCACCTACGGAGTTTATTTGCACTCTCCGAATACCTTTAGCAAAATACGCAGTAAGGAAAGAAGCAACTTATTATCCGGGTAAGAATTTCCTTTTAATATTTTTCCTACAATCTTACTATAGAAAAGAATAGAATAGATAATCAAATAGATTTGATGTGAGCTTAATCGCAAGCAGACATTTGCTCTTGTCTAATATACATTTATATACAGGCTTGAAGCAGATTATTATTCGTAAAAGTGTTGTTATTTTATATATAAAATATCTATAATGGTATCTTTATGAGGAAACTGTGAATTCTTCGGAAAGTCCACGTCGTAAGGTATCACTCCATATCGGTACCGTTAGCGTTGTAAGAAGCGACTGGGAAATGCTGGAAAATCTTGTTTTTTTTTAAATATAGGATAAGGGTGACAAACAAGCACAAAGTCCACCTGACGGTAAATGGTTGCTGTGGCCCATAGACATCTGCATCAATCCTCGACCACGAATCGAAATGCAGATGCGTTTTCACCCGTGACGACTAAGAAGGAATACCTATTATCCAGTAAAAAGGGTCTCCGGTTCTCTACACTCACCATACGAAACACAGCACCGTTAAGCTACTATTTTACGCTCGTATTCTATGAGAGCGTGGTTCTTCCCCGGTCGATCCGATAACTATACTACTAACATAGCTGCAGCATGGCTCTACCACGTACAAAATTTATTACGGATTAAGGCAAATCCTTCTTACAACGGGAGATGTCTATGTCTGGCAGTAAACTTACGGGCAACTAAAATAGAAAGTTCTTGAAACAAGTGTGGCACCAACGCCTTGATATACTACCGTCATCATCTGTCTACTTTCGATAAAATTTCCCAAAAACTCCGCAGTGTTCAACACCAACATATTGTAAAAAAGTTTTTAGCGGTCAGCACCGCAGTCTACTCCGCCTAAGGATGCCTAATGCAGAGACGAAACACGCGTCTTACTCTGTCGTGCCGTTCATGTCGTTCCTAGTATGGTTGTGTTGGGACTTGTTGGGCTGGTAAAGGTGGTCCTGGGTATGATGGTTTCAGTTCAAAATTAACAAATATATATAATATAAAAAACACACACAAATATAGATAATTCAAAAAATATTTTTTCGGTTATCAATTTTAAAAAATCAACCGTAATTTAAAATTGATAAAAGAAAAAATATTAAATAAAAAATATATTCGAAAATATTTTGTGTCGAATACAAAAAAAAATTAATATACAATACAATAAATAAAGAAAAGTTACAATAATTAAATAAGAAGCATCTTGTTTCTGGAAATCAAAACGTTTATTCGTGTCTAATTATCCCTCCAAAAAATTCAAGCAGGTCTGCTAAATGATGATATAAAATCTTTTAAATCTTTATTTTTGAAATCGTTAGCTCAGCAACTGACACGCTCTACCCTATATTTAGTTCAGATGTTATTGTAAAACTAGCTTTAACTTATTTTTTTTTAGCGTCAATGAGGTTTTAAACCTTAATAAATACATTTGTAGACTATAGTAGCACGTCTTATAGAGTCGTCAATGTATAGAGAGGAATAAATTAATATTCTGTAGTGAATGTATTTATTTCTTTTTTGAAAATTATCGCTTTTATAGCTACATTGATTAGTCTATTTCCGTATTACATATTCACTGTAATAATTAGCAAATTAAAAGTTTTTTTTTTTTGTATATCAGGAAATATTTTGAATATATCAGTTGTTTAAAATTACAGCCGTGTAAAACATACTCGAAACTTATATAAGAAATTCAATAATATTCAAATTTATATTAATTTATCAAATTTTTAGCTTGCCGGTTGTCGTAAGACGTGGCCGTACCAGCGGAGGCGACTTTCCTGCTGCTTGTCAGCAATGTCACGGACATGGAGGCTGCCGCAGATGTATGTATTCCGTACATGGTCTTTCCGCGTGACGCCACACATCCACCGCAGCATGTTCATCTCCGTGACATGCAACAACAGACGGTGTCGCTCCAGCACCGGCCACGCCTCTGCCGTATGTAAGGACAGGCCTTATGATGGTCTTATAGACCTGTCCCTTCAGCTTTACCGTCATTTTGAGGTCACAAATGACACCCGTCACCTCGCGCCATTTTTCCCAGGCCACTGATATATGGGCCTTCATGTTGCGATTGATGTCCCCGGACGCATCAAACACGGTGTCGTCGCCTATACGGAGAGACGTCAGATCTGTGCTGTTGCAGGCCATATACTCCGTCTTCGCCACGTTTAGCTTCAGCCCGCCGTTCTCAAGCGCCTCCCTACATGCGTGTACGCGTCAGGTGAGCCGTGCTTTGTCCCCATATACCAGTGCGATATCATCAGCGTACATAAGCAGCCAAGGCTGCGGTAGTTTCTGTACGCTGGCTGACTGTTCGTCTAATATCACACTGAAGAGATAGGGCTTAAGACGGAGTCCTGATGCACGCCTACGGTTATGGGGAAGGGGGTGGTATCACCAACAGCGGTCCTGACTATTGAATCGGAGTTGCGGTACATGTAACGTACGATTTCCACGTAGGTCTCTGGTACCAACTTCGACCGCAACGCCCACCAGATCATCTCCCTAGGAACACTGTCAAAGGCCTTCTGCAGGTCTAGGAATAAAAACTGCAGAGGCATATTCTTTTCCCTGTGCTTCTCCATGAGGATCCTTAGGGCGAATATAGGGTCCATGGTACCGCGTCCTGGTTGGAAGCCGTACTGGGAGTCCGATACTGTACACTCCTATCGGATCCTGGTGTCAATAATGCGCTCGAAGAGCTTCATGGTGTGTGACGTCACCTTTATACCGCGGTAATTACCGCAATCCTGAACGGACCCTTTTTACCCTTGTGGATCGGCGTTATTATACTAATCCGCCACTGATCGGGCATCATTCGGTCGCTCAGGATTCTGTTATAAAGGTTAGTAAGAATGCACACACTACGAGCCCCCAGTGCTTTCCACGCTTCAATTGGCACCTCGTCTGGTCCTACAGCTTTCCGATTCTCCATGTGACGAAGAGATGCGAGGACCTCGTCGGTAGCACGAGTCTATGGTTCGGGAGTTATTCGGGAGAGTGCACTTCCCGGTGCTGAGTATTCAGCAAAACGTGGAAATAAGAGCGCCATCTCTCCTTCACCACATGATCTTTTTACCCTTGTGGATCGGCGTTATTATACTAAGCCGCCACTGATCGGGCATCATTCGGTCGCTCAGGATTCTGTTATAAAGGTTAGTAAGAATGCACACACCACGAGCCCCCAGCGCTTTCCACGCTTCAATTGGCACCTCGTCCGGTCGTACAGCTTTCCGATGCTCCATGTGACGAAGAGATGCGAGGACCTCGTCGGTAGCACGAGTCTATGGTTCGGGAGTTATTCGGGAGGGTGCACTTCCCGGTGCTGAGTATTCAGCAAAACGTGGAAATAAGAGCGCCATCTCTCCTTCACCGCATGATCATCGTACAGGAACTCGCCATTAGGGCCATTGACGCTGCAGCAGCGAGTAATATCTTAACATATAATGGTTGCAAGTGGTCACGCCTGGCTCTGGCTACAGCTCTTTTCGCTGTCTTGTAAGATGCGTGATCTGCAGGAGATTTGGTCGCTTGCCACATCTTGAAGAGCGCTTTCTTCTCCTGTAATGAACACTGGACTGTGGCGTCCCACCACCAGGTCTCCTTGTAGAATTTTGCGACCCCCTTTCGCTACGCCGAGGACCTGCTTTGCCGTCTTTGTGATTGCTGTCTGAATGGTTCTCCAGCACTCTTGGACGGACTTGCCTGCTGTGTCGAGACTAATATCCCCAGTGGCAGAGTCAAACTCTGAGTATCTGGTTTGATCCAGCAGCCATCACTTGATTTGACGGTGGCAACGTTCGGCGTGTCTGCGACGGGGTTTTACGCAGAGGTCCACGGCAAGAAGTCGGTGTTGGGCAATGAGACACTCACCGGTTATGACCTTACAGTTGGCCACGCGACTGATATGACTTCTCCTGGTCAGTAGATAGTTGATTTAAGTAGCGTGCCGACCGATTCAGTAGGTAATCAGGTGCTCGGTTTTCTTTTTGAAGAACGTGTTCACCACGGCCAGGTCAGCTGCAGTGCAGTTTCTGAGAATGGTTTCCCCCTCTGCGTTTCTTCGGCCGTAACCATAGCCGCCGTGGACATGTTCATACTCCCCCTGCACGTCGCCCACATGACCGTTCAGGTCGCCACCCAAAAAGACATCATGGGACAACGGTATGCCCCATAGTACATCTCCGAGCCGATCCTAAAACAGCGTCCTATCCGCGTCGCTGCAGCCGACCTGTGGAGCGTAGACACTTATTAAGTGGATCACGACCACCTCAATAAGCAACCTTACTACCATAAGTCAGTCGCATATGCGTCTAACTTCCAAGACGCTATCGTGGAAATGCTCGGCGAGCACCACTGCCACACCGTTCTCCCCACCAGAAGAGCCTGTATAGATCAGCTTGTAGCCGTGCGCAATATCCCGGCTCCTGTTGGCCTTCCACCGTGTCTCCTGCAGGAACGCCACTGCCACTTTACGCCTGGCAAGTATGGCCGCACGTTCTGTGGAGCGTCCCGTAAGTGTGCCAATGTTCCAGTTTGCAAAGCGAATCTTCGTAGTTGGTGCTAACGTCTTTAGCCAGGCTCGCACGGGGCCCGGTAGCCCTGGCATACTTGTCGCAGGGTTAAGGCGATCCCCATGCGCGTCGTTATGCGGCGACGCCCTAGTCCTAAACGTATATATCTTTCTTTTACTTTCCATTTTTGAGTGGCTTAGTGCCAATTACCGGGGCGACTGCCGTCTGACCCCCCGAACCCCTAGGACGAATCCCAGAGGAGTGGCATCGCCAGAGCCCTTTCCGTTGTCCAGCAGGTGCGCCACGTGCAGGCGGGGTTGGCTTGGGCTCCAAGATCTTAGCGGAGCCCCTTACACCCCATAAAATATAAAAACAACGAAGGTAATGATAATGAATGCTTTATCTTACTTTATACGTCTCATTGCTCATATTTCTGAGAGGATTATGGAGCAATGGTCCAGCTTGACACCCGTTGTAGGACTTTACACAATTTCTTTGATATATAGTTTTTCTAAGATACGGAGATTTATTTATAATTTTATCCTTCGTCTCCAAGCACGCAAAGGGCAAAGAGCTCTTTAAAAAAATTGTAAAAATAAAAAAATATTTAAAAAATTATTGCAATTAACATTTTTTGGTGCTGGCGAGGATCGAATCGTGATATTTTCAGTGAACGCTTAGTCTGTGAGCTACGTCAACTTTGATATGAACCATAATAAGTAACAACCTTTATAAGATAAAAAAAGGAATCCAATATAGGAAAACCAACATTATATTTTACAATATATTTATTTTATAAACATGTGTTTCTTTCATTAGGGCCCATCAGCACAAAACCTGAAATGCCGACCGCAGCCGACATACAACTCGCTGCAGCTATTGGCTCTGAAGGTGAGAAATATTATATATGGATAAGCATAAACCTTTAATATAAGAACGTACGCGTTTGTGTGCGTGCTTGAGCAAGGCAAACGTATCGAAAGTAAGAATTTTAGTTTTAGTGTAGTATACTCAAATTTTCAACTTCAATTTATAAATACAAAAGGGACTTTATAAACTTTGCAGGTCCCTTAGCTATCCATTTTTTTTACATTTACATTTCTTTATTTTATCTAGTACTAAAGCAGCTATGTATTTTGATGTCAAAGACGGTACTGGTCGTTGTACCGAGCGTTTAGCAACCTTTTATTATCTGAAAAAAGAAACGCTTGCAATGCCTATTAATAGATTGATTTTTAAATTGTTAATATTTCATACATTATTGATTTTATTTTACTTCACATTATTAGTAAAAAGGGGAAATAAAACAGGGGATGCCCCCCGTAAATTAGATTCCCGGTAAAGACGAAATAATAGAAACTGCGGCTGATAACCCGCCTGCAAAGTGTATTAACTATAATGAATTTAGGGGAGGACTTTATTCAGCAGTGGATTTTGATAGTATATGATGAATGAAATATTTTACTATTATTCTCATAGTTAAAAAAAACATTTTAGTTGTATTGGAACAACACATGAGTAAACAGTCCATTTTATTTCAATTGGCTTTGCCATCCCATTGACACCTGCAATTACTCAGCACTTAAGCAAAAAAAGACCACACGTGCTTTGTTCTCGAAGGCTGAGAAGGATAGAAAATGTCTTGCAGTCTGAAACCGTGTTTGTTTTTTAACCCAGAACATTCACACCAAAACAGAGCAATGGATTTTGTATAATTTAATAAAATTTTACTTTTTTTATTATAAAAATGAAGTGACAAATGGTTTTACAATCCATCTGATGGTAAATGGCTATTACTGCCAATGGAAAGAAGTCTACAGATACGGTATCTCGCTACTAAGACACAATGCTCAATAATTTATATACCGGCCCGCTACACCCTGCACGCTATTATGAAAGTAATGCTGTTTAACGGCAGAAAAGGAGGAATCGTAGGAAGGAAAGCAATTAAACCACCTAGAATGAACATTGTCAGAAATTAGAAAACCACAGGCCCAGTTATACAAATTTATCTATAAACCTGTTCGCTCTTACTTTTTTATATTTTCATCACTACATTTATTTGTTTATTTTTTTATTATCTAAGTCTATAACCTATAGAGAAGAAGTAGGTATATGAATTATTTTCTGAAGTAGGCATTAATAAAATTGAGATCTTCTAACATAGGTTAAAACACAAATACCTACTGATTCTCTCGATACATCGATTAAGATTCAAAATGCAGATGCGTTGTCCACCAAGAGAGGACATATATGGAATGCCTCTTTTTTTTTTTTTTTGCGGATAGAAAATCATCTAATGACCCCTTTCGCTCTGGGTGGAGCGTAAGGGAGTGTCAGACTTTTACTGACTAAAAACCATCCGTGTTCCTTCAGTGCCCTTACGTTCCGGAGCCGCGGTATCTCTTTCGAATAGCCCGCAGCCCCGGCAGGCGTCGGCCCTTGCGGGCCCCATCACGCTGCTGACAGCTCTTTGAGGCGCGCGTGGAACAAAACGCGCCGTCGACACGGCCTGTCGTCGTTAGACGGATGGACGACGAGCTACCCATTGCTCGCCGTCCACAGGCCCGCGCCTACGGTGGCCGGGGGCCACGACGTAGCCCCCGACGCCCGGGGCGTCTCCCGCGGCGGCCG